GCGGGACTTCCGTGAAACGAAGAGGATGTACTGAATGAAGTAGATTTTCCTTATGTATTAGTATGTTGTCTGGGAAATTCTCTAATCTACATTTTTACATCAAATTGAAGACCTATTTTTTTGTTCTGAAACATAGAATATCTGCACTTCGTAGAAGTGGTGAGGATTTACACGTCGTTTTGAAATAGACCAAACTAACGGAAATATGGCCTCATTCGGAGGTGTTCATATAGGCAGAGCAAATGTACATTTGGGAATTGATCTGTGTCATGTGTCATATGTATTACTTGTATTTGCGTTTAGAATGTTTGATGGATTACTAGGAGACTCATCGTGAGTATGCTGGATTATTCGCTCGAAATTTCACTCAAGGGATTTGGTTTCTTAAAGCTGGTTCTCAGGAAACTTACAAATCGCGACATTTGCACTTTTTGTTCATTGGTGTGAAGAAGTTGATTGCCGTGCATAAGAAGCGCATGTATATTTATTTGTCGAAACTTCAACTGAACTATTGGCAGAACAAAAACGAAAAGATTTGATGAGCAATAGGGACGCTACTGAGGCCTTTTTTTAGTTAGATAAATATTGATGTTTTTTTTTCCATTTCGTTATTCCCAAGTACCACATCGAAGCATTCCTTCTTTGTCCTTTTCCAGTTATCCATATTTCCTAAACTAAGCATATATATTTTCATCCGTTTTCATTCAACTAATTCATATTATTTGTGGTGACAAACAAACGAGTAGAGAGATCCTGGCTGCAAATTTATGAAGCCTTATGTGAAAGATGCACGGCAAAGATGCAGAACGACTTCGATTTTTGATATTTTTCGTTTGCTGTTGGAAAAGCAATGAATCCCTTCCTAATCTAGATAGAGTCTATTACCATATTAATGTAAATATTCTCTTACGAAAGATTTCTATTTCAATGTTTAATTTAACCAAAATGGTCAAATAAATTGCAGGGCAAGAAAGATCGAGAATTTAGACGATAATTGCCAGTAAAAGTGCCTTCCTATTTACTTCAGAATGTCCATGCTATTATTACCGACATGATATTGCGCTATTTTTTGCGCATATTCTTTTTCATTACCTGTAATTTATTAAGTGGTATCCGCAGTGATTTTTTAACATCTCAAACAATGCATTTTTTCCATATCAATGACTTCCTTATATATGGTATAACCCAGGTAATCTATAGGTTTTAACTGATCCAGCAAATAAATCTCAAGATGGATATAATAATCATAAGTTTCATTGAGCCTATACTCAAAATTAACTATTTTCAATTAATATTGGACCTGAGCACATCAAAAGACACTTGCTAAATTAATTATTTCTTTCTCTCATTAGAATCGTTGCATATTTTTGAAGTTTGGTAAGGTAGTAATTTGAGCGATTTTAACGTTACCTATTGTAGGACTGTCAATTATACTTCGTGGAACATATGAATTATATGCTGATCAAATCACTGAAAGTTGATCGAAGTAATACATATTGCTACCCAGATTTAGTCAAACTTCATCTTCGGCAAGGAATCAAACAAATTTCACTTTTGCTAATAATAAAGCAAACCAAGAATTGCATTTGCACGTTGCCAGTCGAAATGCCATCACTTCAAACTGTTAGTAACGAACTTTTCAGGTATATTTTCGTATGTAGTCATTGATATAGTTAATTAAATACCTCTCAAACACCACTAGGATTCTATACTTACTATCTGCTATACTTTCTCTAAGGTTCACAATTTAAAACTGATTGGACTTTGCTGTTCACGATTACC